AAGACCACACCAACTAGTACGGAAGGCTATACCGTTTCAGGACTACATGCGGTCGACTTCATCGTTACAAGTAGCCATTTCACTAAGAGCATCCGGATACTGAAGGCCTTCCTGTGTTGCTGTACGTGCAGCCTGTCCCCGTCACATACAATGTTGTCACGAATCAGCATATAGAGTAGCTCATGGAAACAGGCATCTCAACTGTGGTCTAATCAACTATGGAAAGGACAAAAGGAGGAAGCCCCTGAGGGAGCCCCTTTTGTATGCCTATATCCCTGTCTACCCCCATCTCTACCGCTGAGCGTCACCCTAGTCATACTTATCTCGTGACAAATGTCGTCGAATGTACACTGAGTGTATCATTGTGCCTGGCTCGGCATCTTAGCCGTGACTTGCGTTGCCGCAGACGGAGGAGACGACTTTTCCAATAATCTGTTTTCTGTCTTGTCACCGTTAGCACATGTGATAAACGATTTTCTGTGGAGTAGTCTGCTAATGGCGGTTGCCGAGTCAGACTCTAAGCGCTTTTCGGAGAACGCGTCACCATGCAGTTCATGAGCGACTCTATGGACTGAGCTGATAGTATCAGTCTAGCTGTGGCACCCCTAGGAATCATTACGAATATTGTCAGCGCTATAAGAGTTGGTGGCCCTTCTCGGCTTAAAGCTGTAGTGACATGGAGAAGGGCCCGAGAGAACTTGGCGGCTGCAGAAGTAGAGCTGATGTCTTCTACATCTGAAGAAGTCTGTGAGCTTTGGAATGGGCACGAAGTTGTCAGGTGTATGAGTTTATCTGTCTACTGCCAAACAAGAAGCCTCCTTCGTCTAAACCAAGCGATTTTGGCGTAGAGATCAGAAGTTTGGATGACGTTCTTGATGAAGTTGGTAAGAACATTGAAATTTTCTTTGATGTCTCAAAACTTGATCTAAGCGGATGCTAAACTCTTCGGTCGACGTCGCAGGGGGGTAAAAATGATTATAATTCGATGACCGAAACAATCATTCAACCTAGCGAAGCAGAGTCAGGAACGGTGCCACCACAGTCCGAAGAAAATCAGATCGTGGACCCGACAAGCGGAGGCTCATCACAGAAGGTCTTCATCACGCGCAACTTAGACAACGGCTCACCCAACGTTTCGTTGAATACTCATGGCCAGTCCACTACTTGCGAGCTCGTCTTTGCCGCAATTTTCGGGGCGACCCTTCAGCTAGGGGTATTGGTGTATGTAGGATTCGCGACTTATCACCCGTCTTTCAATTTGACGAAAGGCGACGAGCCTGTCGCCGATTATGCGTACCCTTGCACTCTGTCTGGAACACTTTTCCTGGTGTTCGACTTAGCACTATCTGCTCACGTCGTCGAGAGTAGCACGAAAGAAAGAAACTTCATTTCAAGAGACGACAAGAAGACCCGTGTCATCGACATTGTATCTTTTCTATCAGAGAACTCAAGTCGAAACCTCCGAGATCATTTCGGGAGGACTTCGTTTTATCAGGCAGCCGTAGCAGGCCACCAGAACATTTTCGGGCCACTGGGTCGAAGTGGGATCTTCCTGGATGCTAGAGATCGTAACGGCCAAACTGCATTATCTATAGCCGCCAAAAACGGCCATGTGGTCTAAAGCTTTGGTCAGCAGCGGTGCGGAAGTCAAGCTTGAAGATGAAAAGGCGAAGACGCCTCTACACTAGGCTGCAGAAACAGGTCACGGAGACTGTGTTGGAATACTCCTCACTCATAATGCCCCGACGGAGCCAATAGCCTACCTGAAGATGACACCCCTTCACTTGGCTTCTCAATCTGGGGATTATGACTGTGTCTGCAAACTTCTTGATAAAGGCGCCGATGCGGATGCCTTAGATCACGGCGGTGGCGCACCGATCCATCCACCTTGCTGTTCAGTCAGGTAATCTGGATACTGTCAGGGCACTACTCAGAAAGAGTCCGAACGCAAAGTTGATAGAATATCAAACTGTTTGGACAACATCGATGTTTGCCGCCGGAGCTGGTCAGACAGAAGTGCTTGAAATACTTGCTGAGCATGATACCAATCTTTGCCTGAAATATAATAGTGGCAGGCATGCCTTAGAGCATGCAATTTACGGGAGTCGTCCTGAATTGATTCCTATGACTATTAAGACCGTAGTCGGGTTGGGCGCCAATTTAGAAGCCCGTGGGAGAAAGGGAAGAATACTGCCGATGGCTACTGTTGCCTTCTTAATAGGGAATACTGCCCTGCTTGTTGTCAAGCAACTGCATGATTGCGGCGCTGATGTTGAGGGAACTTATACGAATGATAAGACAGCATGGGAAGTCGACAGTGAGAAGCACAAAGAGGATGTTGCTCAACTCTCCCTGTCCATCAGAAGATCGCGTGGAACCCAGGTGCCTAAATGGTACGCTTGGCCTTCTGAGAGTGAGCTTTCAGTGTCGAACGAGTAAGGGTGGGCTCGAATGTTTAGTGGTTGGACCTCAAGCTTCGTAAACTCCAATTCACAGTTGGTGTTACTCTCTATCTCAAGACTAATAAGTGTAACAATGATTGTGCCCCTTCAAAGTGCAACTATGGCTACACTTACATTTAGCTACACACGACATGAAGAGTCAAAATGTTTTCGAAGTGATTTTATCCGCAGCTAGAACTACGAACGTAGGCATGATTTTGCTGGCCACCTGCCGAATTACCATAGGCGGAACCTTGATAGCTGCTAAGCAAACTACAGCTTGTGCTGCTGCCTTGGTAGAAAGAAGCAGCAAAACAAGCCGAGTTTGCAGCGCACTTTGAAATGCAATCGCCTAAGCTTGTAGCATCAACGTAGCCAAGATAGTCTCCCGAAGCAAGCCTGCCGCAAATGATTTGGAACTTTCTAGAACTCAGTGTCCAACAGTATCCATCGTTCGCGGAACATGTGGGATTGCTGGTCACCGTACCACCACATGCCGAGCCAGCGCAGGTTGAACATGTCCCCGGTGAGAAGGAAGACTGGCATCCAAAGCCACAGAAGTCGCTGCCAGTGTTGCAGTACCCATTCTTTGAGCTATTGTGTGGCTTGTCAATGTTCTGATGCAAGACAGAAAGAGGTGTTGTATTTGACTTACCAGCACAGTCCTGAGGGGCAGGTATAGCCATTGGAGCCACCACATGTGTTGTCTGGACTTGTCTTGGCGCCAGTGGACGCGGGCTGCGCTGCCGAGGAAGATGCAGCAGCCCCTCCACCTGAAGAGGAAGAAGAGCAGGTTCCAAAGGATGACTGGCAGCCGGTGCTGCAGTGATCGGTGCTTGAGCCACAGTATCCCCATTGACTACAGCAGTCACCAAAGGTGCTTCCTCGGCAGGTGTTTCCACCTGTTCCACCACAAGCTCCATCCTGGCTGACCGTTTTGCCGCCATTGGTGACGGAGCTGCAGTCGCCAAACTTTGACTGGCAAGAGTTGAGGCAATGAGCATCTGTGTTGCCGCAATATCCCCACTGGCTGCAACAGGTTCCGAAAGAACTTCCCTTGCAGGTGTATCCCGCAGTGCCGCCACAGGTGCCATCCGAGCTGACCCTACCGTTGGTGCTGGTGCTGCCGCCCCCGCTGTTGCTAGAACCAGTTGTGCATTTACCGAATTTGGATTGACATCCTGTTCCGCAGTGTGCGTCGGTTGTTCCGCTATTTGTATACTAGGTCAGTCTTGACAATTTCTCGCAGTCTTGCGCATCACCTCAACTTACCACCAGCTGTATTGACTGCAGCATTGAGATCCCGGACAGGTGTAAGCGTTGGAACCTCCGCAGGTCTGGTCCGGAGATGTCGCCGCTGCAACGATTCCCGCCAAGAACAGCAGACAAGAAAGGGAAAGTCTAACCATCTTTTCTTCAAGGCGACAGGGGATTGATGATTATTGACTTGTTACCAAATAAAGTTGACGTCTGTGATTAGAGGCCGAAAGAGTTGGCGCAATTTCAGTCTGGATGATTCAGCATTCAAACCCCGACTAAGTTGCGGTATCCTCTAAATAAAGATTTCGGTGTTATTTTGGCGGTCATTGCTTGCGGACATAGCGGTCACGGGAACCATCCTCAGACTCTCTAGGGCAGATCTAAGACTTGGGATTTTGGCTTCGAGCATAACGACAGGCTACGCTTCATTCCGTTTCCGGTCGTCAATGATCACAATCCGTGACTTCACGCACCCTCCCGAAAGGAATGGCATGAGTTCCTTTGGCCAGATCTGTCCGATCTATACGTCTGGCCCGAGGAGATGGCATGACTATCATCTCCATGATCGGATCTACAAAATTGGTGCTACCGCTCACGCCGCTCTAGATTTCCGAGAATTTGTCTCACCTTTCAACCCGCGCTGCGGAGTGTCTGGGTGAAATCAGGTGTTGGCCGGAAACGGAAATAGACATTAATCTAAGCGGAATGGCTTCAGTCTAGATTACGTGCCGCAGAAATGGCAAATATTTACGCACTACGGAGTATTTGTGGCTGAATTGACGTTACTATCTTTTGACATTGGCCAATGCATGCTGGCGCTGCGTCTGATGATGATCAGATGTCTCAAACTATCACTGTTGCGTTCTTCGGTTCGACTCGGCACATCCACGCTTTCATTAAGTAAGGTTTGAGATCTCCATGTTAATGTCCAACCTCATTTCTAACTTCCATACTCTTTTGGTGGGAATCCAGCGTTTTTCCTCTTCAATTTCTCTTGACATTTGAGGGTCTGTTCTTCAAACAAATGCTCACTGCTAGAGTCCGCGTACAAACAGGTCACGCACTTGTAGCCAAGGTACTTAAGACCAGGCCTGTGAGACCAGTCCTCAAGTCCAGGGGGCGCTGGACAGTGCGACGATGCTCTGAACACCTCAGGGCAAGCATTTTCAGCTCTTAATGCAGTCACAAGGACTTACTTCCAGTTAGCCCCCATCACAATACTTATCATACGTCACATAAATATGATACTTATACCACGAGAGAACGCTTGCGCGGAATGGCTCGACGCATCGACATTTGCTGGCATGCAGGATTCCAAGTCGCGTTCGGATTGGTGCAGGCGCATTCCTGTGCAGCAGTTCAACAGTCCATGCCACTGTCAAAGAGTGTACGCCAAACGCAAGTCATTCATACCATTATACAGTGAAGAGTGCTAAATGAATTATAATACGAGCCAGTAGAAGATCGTCGGTTTTGTAAGGTGATCATCAACACAGCGAATGGCACAGACACGCTCTGAGCTTGCGATCGAATGGACCTAGGAACATAGATGTATTTCTGGAGGGGAGAAATCATCAATCGGAAGGGTGGCCGAGTTGGTTATGGCGCCAGGTTAAGGTCAGCTTAACATCTGTTTCCTGGTGGGGCAACCCGCGCGAGTTCGAGTCTCGTCCCTTTCATTTTGAAGTTTTTGGCAATCTCCACCACTGTTTAATCCTGTAGATCATAATTTTGCTCCGTATCCAACCAAGCCCTTTTGCTAGCAAAAGAATGGAGGGTTCATATCTCTATCGGTTAGATGTGTCTGGTCGATGTGAGTAGGCGAGATTGAGCGAGGAATGGTATCTGAATGACTATTTCCCTGTGCTTATAAGTCGTTTCGGTAATTTAAACTCAATAACATAGAGTTTGTGACTCAGCCCACTTGGAAAGGCTTTTATTGCTGCCTAGTTTACGCAGTCACGTAAATACATGTATTCTCGACAAGTAGTCGCCCCATTTCTGGCCGTAGTAACCATTCGCATATCGGAAACATACAACGCCGCAGTTCATAAGTCCCAGTCACTGATACTAAACAGAATCTGAACCACGTAGCCATTTTCTCCAGGTACATACTGCCGTTCGCTAAAACCGCAAGACTGACCGTTAAGGAAGAAAGGTCCCGTTAGGTGATCCCTACGTGGTACGAGTGCTAAGCCTCGGTGATAATTCGCGATATCGCAATGATCTGGCTAGGAAATGAAAGAAAGACATAAAGGTTCCGCTTAACTTTCGCTCTTGTTGCTTCACAGGCAGGCCGTACTTCACATGATATCTGTATCAAGACGGACCAGTCCTTGAAGCGGTCAATGGGTTTTTCTGGTTTTCTTTTTTCAAGTCCCAAGGCTGCACTGGAAACAAATTGGTTTTTATCAGTCTTGCGATCCATTTCACCATCTGGAAAGGTCGCGGTACTTTGTAGTCCCGAAAATCCGCACGAAGTCGAATAACTGCCTAGAGATTGAGTGAGCTGTTTACCCATTTAACGAGTGGTAAATTTCCGGGGGGGGGTTCGGCATTATGGTTTTTTTGGCCCCCTAGTCCTCAAGTCCGAGACATCAAACCCCGACCTACAACCTGGTCAGATCGAGATCGATTGTATTCTCATATCTAGACTTGAAGGTATATATCAAGCAAGTATTGGTGGTTCACCAGTACGGAAGCTCACCTAGCTCTCCTCACTCTCAGCCTGCGCGCCTCGAACAACAGTGCTGAGTTTGATAATGAAACTTTTCTCGGGTCTTTCAGGCCTTACTCTGGCTCATCGTACGTTACAAGATCTCAAGACATGATGCCCTAATGACCTCACTGACCGTTTACCTAGTATCAATGAACTTACTCGCTGCAAATGTACCTGATGACCCCTTTGACTACATCGTTGTGGGTAGTGGCCCAGGAGGTATCGTCACTGCTGATAGGCTTTCTGCCAATGGCAAAAATGTGCTTCTGATCGAGAGAGGACCCCCATCTTCTTTCAGATGGGGTGGGAGTACGTCCACTCATGTCACCAGTATATTGACAACACCAAGCTCTAACGGTTGTGTGTATAGGACGGAGAGGAAAATGGCTTGAAAACTCGAATCTCACAAGGTTTGACGTCCCAGGCCTTTACGGCCTCATATGGCAAGACAGCACCGACATTAAATGCCCGGACGTCGTGCCCATGGCAGGCTGTGTCCTTGGTGGTGGATCCGCCATCAATGCAGGCCTTTGGTTCAAGGTAAGCATGTCTTTTCCTCCGGTCTCTTTATCGTGGCTGACATCTCTAAGCCTCAAAGCTTGGACTGGGATTCCCAGTTTCCTGATGGTTGGAAAGCCGAGGACCTCTCCGCTGCCACGGATAGAGCTTTCCAGCGTGTACCGTGGACTAGTGTTCCTTCTAGCGATGAGATTCTATACAATCGCGAGGCTAGTGACTTGATTACGAAGGTACTCGTTAGTGACGGATGGGCTAGCATTGCGGCAAACAGTGAGCCTAATGCCAAAATCAAAACCATCTCACAGTCAGAGTACTTCTTCCAGCACGGAGAGAGAGGAGGGCTCTTGGAGACCTATCTGGTATCAGCAGCAGCCCGTGGAAACTTCAAGCTTTGGATGAATACACTCGCCACCAGGGTCGAGAGAAACGGAGGTAGCGTCACTGGTGTGCAAGTTGAGCCTTCTGGTGACGGCGGATACAATGGCACTGTCAAGCTTACTTCAGGCGGCCGAGTTATTCTTTCCGCAGGAGTGTTTGGCACAGCCAAGATTCTGTTTCGGAGTAAGAAATTTCCATCTACCAAACGCCGAGACCGCTTCGGAAGTTCTAATCATATGGATAGGCGGGATTGGCCCCAAAGATCAGCTAGACGTCGTCCGGAAAGCAGAGCCAGATTCACTCATCGACTCTGCCCAATGGATTGACCTTCCGGTCGGGCACAACCTCGATGATCATTTAAATGTAACACTCATTTCCAAAGTCCCTATGTCTCCTTAGCTAATCAGTTCAGACAAACATCATGTTCGAGCATCCGGACATAGTGAACTACAACTTCAACAGCGCTTACAATAACCCTATTCCAGATGATGCAGCAGCATATCTTAGTGAGATCACAAATCTGCCCTTGCAAGATGGTTTGACTTTACTAACTAACAGTGATTTTACAGCCGACAGATCAGGCATCTTGACCCAAGCCGCCCCGAACATCAATCCCATCTTCTGGGATGCGGTCAAAGGAGACGACGGCATCGACAGGTGGTTTCAATGGACGAGTTATGTTGGCGGACCACAAAGAGGCAAGACATACAGTGCGTACATTTGGTAACATCCCTACTTTTAGATGACCATCACTAATAGCCACAGATACTTCCGGCATTGCAGCTGCCCTCGGACTAGGCAAGACTTCGAGGGGACGCGTCACAATTAACTCGTCCCTCGTTATGGATGTCAGCGTGCTTCCTTACTTCAATGACGAAGGAAACAATGACTTCGAATCCGTTGTGGCTACTGTTAGTGGGGTCGTCAAGGCGATTTCTTCCATTCCTGGAGCCACAACGGATTCGAAGTCATTGTTTCCTTCGTCATTGAAGTAAGGAAGCACGCTGACATCCATAACGAGGGACGAGTTAATTGTGACGCGTCCCCTCGAAGTCTTGCCTAGTCCGAGGGCAGCTGCAATGCCGGAAGTATCTGTGGCTATTAGTGATGGTCATCTAAAGTAGGGATGTTACCAAATGTACGCACTGTATGTCTTGCCTCTTTGTGGTCCGCCAACATAACTCGTCCATTG